CCGGGTCGAACACCCCCGGACCTATGCCTGTCTCATGTGCTGGGCGGATCTGCCGAGGACCTGCGAGAAACGGGACTCGCCCGCCGCTAATGGCCGTCGTTCATCCCCATCCATTCTATTTCAGGGGCCAATACCTAGGGAAGCCGAAACCAGGCCAAGCGCTACCTGACCACCAAAAATACCGTAAACTCTACCCGAAATAATCAAGGATATCGAGGTGAGTTCCCCATTTGACGCGTCATTAGCTCTAATTGCGGACGCCGGGGTGAAAATTGACTCCGCTCCGCAATAGCTCTCTGCGATGTTCTGGCTCATTTGGTCTTTCCGATGATGTTATACTGGTATCAATTACTCAGAATGTCGAAATTATCTTACCGGTGCCGCGAGACAAATTGTTATTTAATCCAGGTACGCTGACTATGTAATAGAAGTGAAAAATATAATACTGAATGAATTACGGTCAAATGTCGATTTATAGCCAACTTTCCACCTGAAGGTAGTTTTCCCTGAAGGTGCGTTGCTCGCTCGGATGCTGCTCTTCTGCAATCACCGCCCTATAATTTACAGAGCACCTCGCGTTATCCACCTTACCTAACAATTACTATCCGTTATATAACGCGCCACTTGCGGTCATGTCTCACCGACTGGCTCCAGTACGCGGAGTAAGGAGCTGCCAGGGGAGTTCGCTGGGCTAACGGGTGTAGTGCTGGTGTCGGCTGAGTGCCTGACGGCTCGGGTGGACGGTCACGCCGGGATGGGCACATGTCGCGTGGACGGGTCAGGGGACTCTGTGGGGAGAGAGGACGCCGGCAGGAGAGTGATAGGGAGAGAGGACGCCGGCAGGACAGGGACAGGCCACGGGCAGAAGAGGGGCAGGCATCTGGGGACCGAGGGCTCATTGGTGGCACTTGCGTAGTACCATTACGGATTGGCACCGTCATCTGTTGAAATAATTCACTGCTTGCTAGCTGGTAATAACGATATTATATACGAAGCACTAAGCAGTATGAAGCAACAAAATGTTTGGGATAACTTACACAAAGGAATTATACGAATACTGCATGGGGGAGCGGGCAATAGCAAAAAATATTGCCCGATGTGACGTCACTGTCGCCCGAGGGTGAAGACCGAAACAAGTGCTATTGCCCGAGGCGAAGCCGAGGGCAATAGCACTTGTGGAGGTCTTCACCCGAGGGCGACAGTGACGTTACAGAGGGCAATATTTTTGCTATTGCCCGCTCCCCCATGCAGTATTCGTTTTATTACATGGCCAACTCTCGGAATCTTTACTTAGTACTCCTTCATCCCGTAATAAAAAATATCCAAACACAAATATCATGGTACAATTGAATGTATTGGATATACAATCATAGCCACGTCACATGTCTACGGCACACACTTAGTTGCTTTACATGTTAAAGTTGAAGATGCAGCCTGTGAAGAGCTGGCCGCCGCCGGTCTGAGGCTCCACTGATGTAGATGCTGTGGTCCTTGCTGTAGATGCTGTAGATCCTTTCCCACCGACGTCAACAGGTACTGTTTCACGCCGTACTTGAAAGTGTGGAGACTCTTCGATTTGTAGCGTTCACCGTCCTTGCGTTTTACAGTAATGAAGAACTCCTTCACAGCGTTGTCCAGGACATCGTTGCTGTGCATGCAGCTTTCAACAGATATGCCTTTTACTTGCAAGAACTCAATGAAGACGTCTCCTGCTGATTTAATCACCTTTTTAGTGCCCTGAGCCCTGCGCGATGAAAATAGCTCATCCAATTAATGCGGCTCCAACAAATTAAATCGGGGTATTTGAACGGACATGTTCAAATGACGGCCCAGTTCTTGATGAATTGACTAGCCAATCACGAAATCAAACTGAACAGTCTGAGAAAACGACGATAAAATTACGACATTTGAATTTTTGTTCAAACACCACTGCGCGAGCAACTTACTATTGACCGTTGACATGGCAACCGCTTCTCACCTTCAGAAAGGTCAGTAACCTGACACTGAAAGGTCAGTAACCTGATGCCGGGCAATAGTAAAAAATATCTCATGCCAAATTAACACAGGAGCCATGTAATAATTATTGTTAGTGCTAATCAGTACCAGTGTCGTCACTGGCCAGTATGCTGCCGGATGCGTTTTTTTTTTTTTTGTCATGATCATTTCTGATTTCCTTTAGCCCGTAGCTGGTACACCGCGGCAATGTCTGGCTTCCTGGGCTTGCTATGGTTGTTTTATTGGCCGGTAGCCAGTGGCTACTAGACGTTATGAACTCGTACCTCGAGGTGTCCTTTTTTGCTATATCGCCTTCTGCTAATATACGCCAATTGAACATTTTTGGTCGCTCAACAGGATGTTTTCCAGACTCTGTTCGAAACATGTTTTAGTCTTCACCCTTGCTTCAAACAAAAAGAATTAATTTAGTCTTCCAAGCAGTTGAGCATTTCATCAGAACGATATCTTCTGAGTTACAGGTACTGCTGATGCATCACATTCAGGGCTGGCTGTCGTTTACAGTTCGTTTCTTAGTGTTGGTTTCATTTCATGTCATAACAAATATCAGGAGAAATCCTGCACCCACATCAACCCACACAGTAACTGACATCCGTCATCGTCGTTTCCAGAGCATAGAAAACAACTGGCGAACGGGCAAGCACAACCTACAGAGGATAAACTGCCGTTCGGAGACCTCCAAGGGCGTCTACTGTCTGCAGTATGACGACAAAAAGATCGTCTCCGGCCTGCGCGACAACACCATCAAGATGTGGGACAGGAACTCGCTCCAGTGCACAAAGGTGGGTGTCTCCGTCCCTGTGCGGCATCCGGTTCCGACCCGGTCTCTGGAGCCCAGCGCGGCTCTGGCCGACCTTTGACTATTCAAATCAGCGCCGGAAGCTGCCGGTTACAGGTAAAGGCCATTAGAGATTTCTCGCGAAACGTCAGGAACTAACTGGAGTACCTGGTATTGATTCTTGAGTCGTTTCCGGGATCTTTGTTAAAGTCGACCACTTCTTGATATATTTCCTGATCCTAGTTCTAGTTTGCGGTAGATGACCAATTCATGGTATAGGGTGAAGTCGTATAAGAGTACGCACTTAGTGGATTTCTTGCTCTCATTGTTTAATATTTGAAAGAAAGAAATCGCAAATAGGGAATATTAAAGTTCATTGAATTAGCCATCAACCCATGGGGCAACGATCCTTCAGCGTAAATGGAAGTGGTCTAAAACTGACATTTTCTGAACCGCTGCAGTTGCGTACTCTTACCATATGGGGTGTGTAAGAGTACGCACGCCAGGCGGGTGGAGTACGCAAGCATATGAACACACACCTATGCAGCTTGTACTGTCAAAATGCTTAACTTCAAACTCAGAAGGCATTTAAGTTAATTCGAGTATCCAAAAAGAAAAACATAAAATAAATCTTTCAAGTCTATAAATCAGGAAATAATCATGTCGTGTGTTTCTTTAAAAAATGCACAATCAAAAGGGAGAATAACTCGTATTTGGAAGAATTTCGGGTACGCATCTGCAATTCACAGTGCTCCATTGATGATATACCTACAAAACAAACGTCATTGAGCGATAGATTAATAACTTTATATTTCTGTCTATTCGATTTAATGTATAATTCTGCGTACTCTTACCCTCCTGAACAGTGCGTGCTCTTACCGTACATGCAATTCGCGCACAAAACAGCCCCGAAACGTTGTGCAAAACTTCGCAAACAGAATATTGCACCGCACAGTATTTCCCCAGAAAACCTCACAAGTTTCCCACAACAATCACGGAAATGTACCTTATCTCAACTGCCAAGTATCAAAATTATTGTACTATACCATAATAATATCATAACGCTCAAAAATAATATTCATCGCCTTAAACTCAACAGCGTCGCCGCTCAACGCCCACGTTCCGTTGGTGACAAGCACGCACTGGCGGCTTCATGTCACTTCATGAACTCGACGAACCCGCGTTGCTAAGCAACCGAAACAGCTGATGCGTACTCTTATCGCCCGCGTACTCTTACCCGCCCTTACCCTACGAGCGTCCTTTGTCACTGTCTTGATCGTTTCACTATTCGTCGTTCTTTGTTTGTGAAGTGTAACATTAGAATCATTCCAAATCCAACGGTCTGGCTAAATGTCTTGTCAGTCCGGCCCTACCATGGTCTACTACACGTGTGTATGGAGAATGCCTGACACTTGTGTTTGCCCAGCTCGGATATCAATGCCATGACTTGGAATATTCCGAGCGTCGTCTGTCGTTTGTGAGCGGTGATTTGAGACCAGCCACCTGTACCCGAGCTCCCCAGTCCCCACCCAGTCCGTGCCGGCGGTGCAATTGCTCACCTAGCCCTGCACCGCCCCTGCTTCCCACGTTCAGCCTCTTCCCCTCCCCACCTTCTATACGGCCCGCTCCTCCCCACCCCACTGACCGTGGCCCCGCGCCGCTCCACAGCAAGTGCTCACCGGCCATACTGGCTCGGTGCTGTGCCTCCAATACGATGACAAGGTGATCATCTCGGGCTCGTCCGACGCCACGGTCCGTGTCTGGGACGTGGGTACGGGAGAGCTGGTCAACACACTCATCCACCACTGCGAGGCAGTGCTGCATCTGCGCTTCGCTCACGGCATGATGGTCACCTGCTCAAAGGTGAGTCGCAGGGAGGGAGGGGAGGGGAGGGTACGGGTGCGATGATGGCGTTGGTGGAAAGGTGAGTGATGAGTGGGGATGTAAGAGAACATGTAACTATGTGAGATGAGCTGGTTTATTTAATAGAATGTGAGTGGGGAGTAGGATGGGTTACTTTCCATGTACTGCGCATGGACTATGAAGATTGACTGAAATATTGGCGTTACCGTGGGGCTGTGTTGAGTTTGATGAGATTCTCATAGATAAGTTTGTAGCCTCTTGCAGAGATGTGGGAACAGAGTACGTAATGGGTCATCAGTTCAAGTGTGTGTGGGATGCGGATTCGAGCGTCTGCTCTCAAGTAGACACCGTCTCAAGTGTTAGTTGATGTACCGGTACTCGTCAATTGTTTACGATGGAGAGGGTTGACTGTTCCTTTGTTCCACTTGCTATGAGCTCATCCAGTTAGGCTGTGCGTCACTGAAATGTTTGTTTGTGTTGTGTCCGTCCGTCACGGCGGTCAGAGGCGCTAAGGCGTTACTATGTACCGTAATCCAGGGGAAGTTTGGTTGGATGTTCTATGCACAAGGAACACCCAGCTGTAGTTCTAAATTCTAATCACAATGTGATAGTCATACCTGCTTCAGCTACGTGCTTAGCTTCAATAACTGTTTGGGTGGGTGTTGAAGTTTGAACCAAAACCAGTCCCTTGCATTCATGATAAACATGAGTTGTCTGAATTGAATGTGTCACCATTGTCGGCTAGCTTATGTCTATGAAACGGACGGATAGTCGAGGGATTTCCGTAACTAGCAGCTGTTACTGCACATGTGCTCGACGCTCATGCTTTACACGCATGCATAGAAATTAGGAGATGGCGTCCGGCGTCGTCTGCTAGGCATCGTATCATGACAGACAATATTGGTAGGTATCAGAGACAGTATCGTGTGGAAAGTCATGACCGAATATTTCATAATATGAGGTGCTAAATCTCTCTTCACATCAATCGCTCCATTGCTGAACGCCTCCATCACTACCTACTACCATAGTGCCCATTTCGGCATTTAAATAACATCTTCTAACATCACCAACAAGGTCTGACGTTCTTACTTCTGTAGACCCTGCGTGGCCATAAACTAGCCCTACATTTCCTCGACAAACTGATAAGCCCCCGTCTGCAGTCTTTCCGGGTGTGACTGTGCCGGGTGCCCCATCTGCAGTTCAGTGGGTCTCTAATTTGCATCACCATTCTGCGGCCACTCGACACTTCACACCCGCTCCTTTGAATTCCTACATTTCCCTGCCAACACGTGTGTCCCGGAAAACAGCCGTTCGCCCGTTCAATATGTATCGTAATATCCGAGTGGCTGACCCGCCGAGAAACACAACACTCAGGACTGGTTTCGGGGTGTGCGAGGAACATTTCCGACTGCTGACGGCTGTGCGTGCGGGGCTGATCGGTTCGGTCAGCTGGCGAGAGGTGACGTGCCAACTGCGCGGCCCCGTCGGTGGCAGGGGGCGTGCGGGAGAAAGTTGCATCATTCCGTCCGGGCGGGGATTGTGGTGGCTTCTGCAACTCGTGGTTTGAGGCAGTGCTGGTAGATGGCGTGCAGGATAAGTGGGCCTCTTGAGTGCGGACACCGGACTGAAATGACATTTTTTGTTATTGTACTTCTTTCGTTGCGAGAAAACATTCGTTACGTACGAGAAAACAATGTGCGACCTCGGTCTGTTTTGCCTTTGCTTATGAGTTGACCTCTGTCATCCTTGCCAAACCTGAATTTGAGCGAGATTTCAGAACATGAATTCGGGTTGCTTGTTATTACCACTGTCTTTTTTCCGTCTCGCACACAACTTTGCCACAGATGCCCACTTTTGACGACGACCTATGACCTTAGGCGCACTGACTGTCACTGATCTGTAACCACTGACCTCTGTATGACCCTGCAGGACCGCTCGATCGCCGTATGGGACATGGTATCGCCGACCGAGATCAACCTGCACCGCGTGCTGGTCGGACACCGAGCGGCCGTCAACGTGGTCGACTTTGACGAAAAGTACATCGTCAGCGCGTCGGGAGACCGTACCATCAAGGTCAGGACGGGAGAGGGGAGGGAGAGAGCTGGGAGAGGAAGGGATGCGTGTGTGCTAAGATGTGTGGGAATTTATTAATACGCTGTTTCTTGTTTGTTTCGTGTTCAATGATAGCTTCATATATCACATTTCATTTTTCCCCATTCCTTCTGTACAAAATTATTGTCATGATGGATTGAACTATAATCATGTTGCAATCAGTAGAGCTGTATTTTGTCTTGACCTGTTCCTGTCAAAGCTGACATTGGTCTCCGGCTAGCTCCATAACCCTGACATTGACACCCCGTGTATTCTCCCCGCTCTGCGGCGATCTCCGCTGTCTGTCGCCCCCGCGCCGCGCTCCGCCGCGTGTCACACTGCTCAGCTCCGTTTGGTCGATGGCGGCTCGAGTGCTCCGAACACAGATGGCCCTCCAGGCGGCTGTAAAAGTAGCAAATGGTCCCGGCGGAAGGCAGCGGGGACAAGAGGGCACTTCATCAGAAACTTCCCGCGACCATATTCCAGGCAGAATGAGCACACAAGTTACTGATGGAAGTGAAATAGGGCATGATTTATGGTGCTGAAATATGGACCCATCGTTTTGATGATGGCTTGTATTTTTAATGACGGCTTATAATTTGATGACTTACAACCGTCATCAGCAGTGTTATGCAGGGTGTCTTTTGAAACATTTCGTCCGACGCTAGCTAAAATGCTCGTTATGTCGCCGACACGAATTCAGCCAAGGGCTGAACTCAGACTGCGCCTGACACTGATCTGTCATCCCCGCTCTCACACAGCTGTGTAAGTATACCCGCCTGTTCGTCACTCATCTATCTGCTCCGTCCCAGGTATGGAACACGTCCACGTGTGAGTTTGTGCGGACGCTGTCGGGCCACAAGAGGGGCATCGCGTGCCTGCAGTACCGGGACCGACTGGTGGTCAGCGGCAGCTCCGACAACACCATCAGGTCGGTGGGCGTCTGCATGGCACGCTGAGGACCGGCTGGGGAGGACTGAGGGATGGCGACGAGCTCAGGGAAAGCTGGGGATGATATGACTGGTTTGGGGTTGGATGCTTGCCAACGCCACCTACTTAAAATTGCAGCACAGGCAATGCTGCAGCAGGGGAGCTGAGAGAAAGATAGATATCTTTTGAAGTTTTGATGTCAGTCGATTGTGTTTGGTGACAAAGAGATTCTTTGAAAGAGAGCGGGTTGATTCATTCACAGCGTATACCTCTTCCGACGCGGGCCGACTAAGGTTGAAAGTTCTCTTGTCCATGATGTGCTACATGATGTTAACCGCCCTTCCTGCCGCTCTGTCAGACTCTGGGACATTGAGTTCGGCGACTGCCTGCGTGTGCTGGAGGGACATGACGAGCTGGTGCGCTGTATCCGGTTCGACTCCAAACGGATTGTCAGCGGCGCCTATGACGGGTGAGATACGCAGACATTGCCCCGATCGGCTGTTTACTTTTGCAAGCTTTGTCTTTTTGTTGTTCGTGATTTAGAGAATTTCACATTGATCCTCTAAACCATCCGTCTCTTTCGCTACGTGTGTCGCTCACCTCATCCGTTCTGCCCCGCCCCCTTCCCATTCTCTGACGCATCTGTCCCTCCCCGTACCTCTGCAGGAAGATCAAGGTGTGGGACCTGCAGGCGGCGCTGAACCCGCGATCACCAGTGGGCTCTCTGTGTCTGCGCACTCTGGTGGTAAGTTGCTCATAGCGGGGAGGATGGAGGCGATACGGGGGAGGGGAGGAGATACAGGGACCAGGGGCTCCTCACCAGTGGACTCTGGTTCTGCACACTCTGGTGGTAAGCTCCGGACAGAAGAGGACGGGGAACGCCGGCTGCTGGGAAGAGAGAAGCGCGGCAGGGAGGGGGCAGGCGCGGCGGAACCAGGGAGGCGCTGCAGAGCGGCTCTTTGTTCTGTTGTACTCTGAGGATAGCAGTTTGTTAGCATAAACAAAATGTTGCCACCACCAACGTCAATATTCGACATCAGTGCGTGACTGTGACCCGATCAACTGTTCTAACACCACCCGTATGTGTCCTCAGGAGCACACGGGTCGCGTGTTCCGGCTGCAGTTTGACGAGTTCCAGATCGTCAGTAGCTCGCACGACGACAGCATACTGATCTGGGACTTCCTCAACTACACTCCGCCGTCGGCCGGCGCCGGGCAGGAGATGGACGCCGAGCCGTCAGAGGAGGGAGCCGCGGCGGCCGTGCTGCCGCGAGCCGGCGCCGCGGCCCGGCCGCAGCCGCCCAACCTCGACAACTACAGGAAGTGAGTACAGCGCGGTGGGATGGCCGCACGCAGGTGCGGAGCTGCAGACCGGTCGGGCAGTCATGTAAGATCGAAGTTGTAATTTGTGAGGCATCAGCTGCCGACATGTATTAGTGGTGAATGGTAAAACGAAGGCATTAGCCATCGCACATGTTGATATTAACGGATTTTAACCCGGCAGTTGCTGGGGTATTTCGCCACCCGCCGTTTGCTTGGGGGGGGGGGGGCATTAAGCGCCCCCAGCCGATAACTCGAGAACCAATAGGCACAGCGAAACGCACGAGGCGGCAAACGAAAGAAAGCGACGAGACGCTTCAGATGAGTACTTTAAAGTTGAATTTTGAGGTCACAGGTCGGGTCAAGGTCAGGTCAAACACCTGAAATCGGGCTTTCAGTAGCATGGACTTCAGGACTTCGCAATGGGCGCCTCTCGTCATAAACTCTGTCAGAACGGTGCACAATCCTTCATATAAGGCCTAGTGTCAGCTCCATGTAGGGTTCAGTCAAGCATAGGTGAGAGTCAAGGTCAGGTCAACTGGGTAGGCACATATCCCCGAAAATCAAAACTGATATTCGCAGCCTGTGACACATGTGTTATGTGTAATTTTGGGCGTAGAACACGATGGTGACATTCATTTTATCATATGTGTACGTGTTTGGCTCAAAAAGTTCAATTTAAGAAATGCATGTATCATAGTCGTGAAGTAGTCACGAGAAATTGCCAAGATTCAGCTCAAGATTTTGGGAAATGCGGAACGATAATCAATATTAATTGAAGATAGCCATTTGATTGTTCATGGTATTGGCAGTCTAATGGCGTTTACTCCGACCGAGTATTTTGAAACTATGTCACAAACTTCAATCAATTCCCTACAGGTACCCAAAGCGCCGTTTTTATGCTATGGCGCGGCGAAAAAAAGTGGGGGCGTTTAACGCCCCCCCCCCCCCCCCCAGCAACTCGCGAGTTAAGGCATGCTACAAAATTATTCGCACGGTCACTGATGTCCGCTGCATTGAGCACAGATGTCAATATCAGGTGAAAGGTATGATCGGATTTTACTTCTTACGGAAGTAAGGAGGTTAGGGTTAGGTCGATGCTGCTGAGTCCCAGGCACGAACGGGGCAAGTATTGCCAGTGCATGCAAACATACATATAGTTAGTTACTCCCTGCCAGGGATAGGTCCGACATAAATCAGCTCGACATGGGTTATAATTGCCCGAAAATGTTGCTTACTGGACTTGCTAATTTTCTGCACGGCTGTTAATTTATATGTAGCTTCCAATTACCCCATGCTTTTCAAGAGATGCATTCACCTCCGGGCAGTCTATAACGGTCACACGTCATGCATGCGTCTTCACTTCCGTGGAACCTCTACCGGAAACTGAGAGCGAGGGGCCGTTCGGGCCGTCTCGTGAATGAATCAATCGAGAAGGTCAGGGGAGACGAGGTCATAAATCGCGTCGTCTCGCCATAATATACACGAGTCGGCGGCCGGGTGGTCCCACCGTGATCCGCTCCGGCGGTATGACAGAACTGGGTACGGACGGTGCCGCGACCCTGGAACGACTGCACTTCGTGTCTGCTTGTTATTCACTGTGTTTATGTTTATTTGCAAATTTATAGACGTCAGCACTATCTTCTCGTAAAGTTAGGTCGTGGAATTGTCTAGAAAAAGATCCAGATTTATTTACGCTTTTATATATTCACTTGTTTAGTCATGAAATAATCGCGTTAAAAAAAACTGTCGAATATGTCACTTGGATTGTGAAGAACACGGTAACAATTTTTTCTGACCTTTGACGCAGCCTGTGACCTCTTTGGCTCTGAATCTGCTCTGACTGGCCCGTGTTCCATTTTCAGCCAAGAGGGAGATGACGAGTTGATGTGAGCGGGCTCCGCTCGGATAGATCTAGAAGACATTTTAACCTCGTTTATGTTTGGCGCGCGCTGGGCCGGGCCCGTGATGTGCACCGCCAGTTCACAGTGAAGATACACACTAGGGTGTGGGCTAGCGAGTCGGAGCGGCTTCCGAGCGCGAGTAGAGGCCGGCGCGGCGGCCCGAGCTGCGCGCCGCGGGGGGAGCACAGTCTGCCGCCAGCACCGAGCGAGTCGGACGGCCGACTGATCTGCATCTCTGCGCGTGTGTCGGTGTGTGGCTGGGTGTGCACGGGGACGGGTGTCTGGGTCGCGGGATGGGTCAGACCGGGCCAGCGGCGAGCGGTGATGTGCTCTGCTCGCCGGCGCCGCGAAATACGACCCGAGTGTGTGCGTGTGTTTTATCTATGTGACATTTACGTGGCAGCGAATCAGGTTAATTTGATTGCTCGCGCGCGACCCGGCGGTAGCGACGCGCCTTAGGTGCGCTCGCGGCGGCGGGGCTCGTTGTGATGTACCCGAGACTGCTCTCCTGTCTCGGGTCGGCTCGCGCGCTCATGCGCGAGCCCGTATGCGCGCGTGATTTATCTGTCGGCGCGGTTGGCAGTTGATAGGCGCCGCGCCGCCGGCCGGCCGTTCATTCCGTGTCTGCCTGGCTGTCCGTCTGTCTGTCTGTCTGTGTGTCTGTGAGGCGAGCGAGCGACTGTCCGCGGCCGGCGCGTGCTGGCAGCTGGCCGGCGCCACCGACGCCACCGGCGCCCTTTCATGCGTCTCCTCACTGGTCCGACTCCCGATGGTTTGGCATTACAATAAATTGAGTTCGGCTCGCCTCCGCTGATTGTTTGGAGGGGGTCCGGATGTTAACTCTCGCTGTTGCATGGGGCGGGAAATGACCTGTATGCATAGCTGAGTGAGCTTTGCCCAACGCAAACAGTCGTAATGGCGATAGTGGTGTTGCACACGGTCTTTATGTGGCGAAACAGGACGATACGCACTGTTGGGCACGGATAGCGGGCTTGCTGCACGGTTCAGTGACTTTTCAGAAAGCCAATTCATACCTGAGTGCGGTTTCGCCGCCGGTCGTCTGGTCTGGAGATCATAGGACGGGCAGCGGTCACGGCATCTCGTGAAAAGTGTAGCTGCAATACATCCATCAAAAGAAGCCATTTCGTGTGTCCAGCCGGCACGTCATCTCAGAGGGCCAAGATTCACACCAGTAATTTCTGTGAAACATTGATCCTCGGCGGTCTATCTGTTGTTCCTGCGACTCGGCTCGGCGTGCAGTTTATCCCTCGAGCAGGATGTATCCCTGTACCGTGAGCACCGACCTGTCATGTTGAGCCGCAGCTCTGAAGAGGCTGTCGGTGACAGAGGCATCATGGCGGCGCTATCGGACCGCTATATCAGCCACTGGGAGCCCGTTCGCACAGACGTCCTTTAGTGGTGTGTCTCAAGGCCGTCGGCCGGGCTGCAATCTGCACTGTTCACAAGGACGTCTGAGGCGGCTGGGCGTGGGATGGTGTATCTGCATCTTGCAACCTCTCTCATATGATCTCGTAGTTACCTCAATCGTAATCACCGTTATGCATGGTAAGGTTTGAGCGGGTGGAACCAAGCGGAATCGCAGCTTTTCTTCCCGTCATTACGGCTTACTTTTCGTTATACCGCTAACATTTATCTTGTCAACGAGGCTGGTGTCCGACGTGCCTTGTCTCGGGGTTAGCCTGTGGGTATTTAGGGTCACTGTCACGGTATGCCTGGTGGTACGGGCGAACTGGGAGAAATCAAAACTCCAACGCGAAGACACTTGAACCCGGTCGGCTTTGACCTTATGATAGGGCATTACCGCACTCACGGTGAAAGTTGCAATGCAAAACCTATGTTAATGGTGATGAAAGCATCCATGCTTTGGAAAACAGGCACCCCATAGGCTAAGCTCAATACGATAAATTATAATTGCATTCGGTAGGCAGTAGCAGTGAGCACATTCGCTTTGCAGGGGCGGATCCAAGGGGGGGGTCACATGGGTCATGGCCCCCCCCCCTTGAGGCCCGGGGGCCCAAAGACCTGCCAGGGGCACCACCGGCCTATCAGGGGTCACAGTCCTGACAGGGGCACCACAGGACCGCCAGGGGCACCACAGGCCTAGCAGGGACACCACGGGCCTGGTGCCCCTGGGCCCTGACAGGACTGTAACGCCCCTGACAAGCCTGAAGTGTCCCCGGCAGGCACGTGGTGCCCCTGACAGGCCTGAGGCGCCCCTGCAAGGCCGGTGGTGCCCCTGGCAGGCCTGTGGTGTCCATGGCAGGTCTGTGGTGCCCTTGCTAGGCCTCTGGTGCCCCTGACAGGCTTGTAATACTAATGCCCTTGGAAGGACTGTGGTGCCCCTGGGCCCTGACAAGCCTGAGGTGCCCGGTCATGACAGGGTCGTGGTGCCCCTGACAGGCCAGTGGTGCCTTGCTAGGCCTGTGGTGCCCCTGGCAGGCCTGTGGTGCCCCTGACAGGCCCAAGGTGCCCCTGCGAGGCCGGTGGTGCCCCTGGCAGACCTCTGGTGCCCCTGGCAGGTCTGTGGTGACTGGTGCCCCTGGAAGGTCTGTGGCGCCCCTGGCAGACTTGTGTTGACTGGTGCCCCTGCTAGGTCGCTGGTGCCCCTCACAGACCTGTGGTGCCCCTGGGCCTTGACAAGCCTGAGAAGTGAGATGCCTGGCTATGACAGGCTCGTGGTGCCCCTGATAGACCAGTGGTGCCCTTGCTAGGCCTGTAGTGCCCCTGGCAGGCCTGTGGTGCCCTTGCTAAGCCTCTGGTGCCCCTGGAAGGACTGTGGTGTCCCTGGGCCCTGACAGGCCTGAGGTGCCCATGACAGGCCCGTGGTGCCCTTGCTAGGCCTGTGGTGCCCCTGGCAGGCCTCTGGTGCCCTTGCTAGGCCCCTGCTACCCCTGCGCCCGAAGAGGACTATGGTGCCCCTGAAAAGCCTGAAGTGCCTCTCGACAGGCCCGTGGTGCCCCTGACAGGCCCAAGTTACCCCTGCGAGGTCGGTGGTGCTCCTGGCAGGCCTCTGGTGCCCCTGGCAGGTCTGTGGTGCCCCTGGCAGGCCTGTGTTGACTGGTGCCCCTGCTAGGCCGCTGGTGCCCCTCACAGGCCTGCGGTGCCCCTGGAAGGACTGTGGTGCCCCTGCCCCTAGGGGTGCTCATGGGCCCAACAGGCCCGTTGTGCCCCTGACAGGCCTGTCGTGTATACTTGCTAGACCTGTGGTGCCCCTGCTTCCTGGCAGGCCTGTGGTGCCCCTGGCGGGCCTGTGGCGCCCCTACAAGGCCGTAGGTGCCCCTGCCAGGTTTGTGGTGTCCCTGGAAGGACTTTGGTACCCCTGACAAGCCTGAAGTGTCAAGGACAGACCCTTTAGACGCCGGGGTCAAGTTCGTCGGACTGACAACGATTCGCTTACCTGATAACGTTCCTGGTAATTACTCACTACTCAGCGTCCATAACATATATACACATAGCACATTCATATATACTTGCTTACAATTGGTAAATGTGGTTGTGGCTAAGAGTTAAGATACTGACTAAAAATAAAAAATAAAAAGAAAAAAACCTGAAAATGGGGGCACCACCAAAATGAAGTGGACGAAATCCGTTGAGTTTTTAATTTTGGGTATAGGTAGGGGCACCACTTCGATTCATGACCCTCCCCTTGGAGTTTTCCTGGATCCTCAGCGATCAAACCATATCATGTCAAACCATAAATATATTTCTAATTAGACACAAAAACATCTGAAGTCCACATGAATGTATGTTCAATAATGCCATTAATTCTTGTATAAAGCTCGACATTATTTTACGGAGCCTGGTAAATAAAACATACCTACGTTTTATTCACCACTCATAGCTCGTAACTGCTCTGCCTTCGCTTGGTAGGCCATGCCCATGACATTGACTGATAGTAAGTCGGCGGTTCGTGGTAACCATCCAAAGCTCGATCCCATGCAACCTTCCGTCGACTGTGTGACCGATCTACGTTTTCGGTGGTCGATACATGATGTTTATTGTTTTCCCACGTTTCGAACACACCGGAAGCCGGGACCACTCTCACCCTTTCCACTGGACGTGGTCGGCGAGTCCTCACGAGTCCATGACTCACTGACTCGGCTCCGGGGAGCGAGTTCACGGTCAGAGTCGAGAGGAGCGGATCAGGACCGACACAGGCCCGTCAGGCGACATTCTGTAACGGTGCGGCGCGGGACTGATACGCGGATTGGTGGACCGGCCGGGAAGCCGAACGGCTCCCAGACAGGATGGAAGATTTGTGATCGGTCATGAAGTTTCCTTGGGCCTTTGTATGGTGACAGAGCTGTAAATATATACCCCTATGATAATCACGAGTCACGACAAATTATCGATCAGGCGAGTGCGACGAGCGAGCGAGGATAATAGCTTTCCCGATTTTTAGAACGACACGATGGCCCACGCCCATGTGAAGGAGGCCCCCGATACCGTAAAATAGAATTATCGGACAGATTGCTCTCGGTGACCTCTAAAGGTAAAAGCCATAGGCAGGCTTCGCAGTCCATGCATTACAGTTATTTGACAGAATTTTGACAGAATTTGACAGTCCAGTGGTTAGCTAGGACCATGCGCTCCCGATGCGCGAAATGGACTGGATAATCAAGACCTGGGTCTCCTCCCTCGTCCCAAAATGTAGGGAATAATCGAAGCCTATATATAACATTTAAAACCCTTCAAATAAAAGAAAAAAGCCCTATCGCGGGTAATATGGTAGCGATATGGCAGCAATCAGACAGCCATTTATGAAATTTTCGCGGCAAATTGTGTCGGGAGCACTTTTGTGATAAGATTACTCATTTACTGGATTTGATGTATAACCGCTGTTTCGCTTTAAACAAGCACGGATACACGAAAAGCACTTGTCTTCTTGCATGGAAAGCTGTTGTATGCATTCAAATTCACCACTTTGAAATGCTCCTGAATCGTATCCATTTATGGAGACAGCACGTCAAAATACGTAGGAATGTGAAACAATTATCATTGATATGTGCTTAGGACGTAAACTTGACATATACCGATCTGGCATCAACAATTAATTCAGAGAACTCGAAGGCTGTATCAAGAGCAATGAGCAACCACCAATTGAGACCTATTTTTGAAAACAGCCGTAGGTAGTTCCGCGACCTTCCCTCATTCGAAAATCAGACGTTGGTAGGGTCAACAACGACATGAAATATAATCCATATTTCATCCTCTTTCGAACCTTACAACTCTCATTGCTCCACAATTAATGCAAACATGTGAATTTCAGCAACTTATGCTTCAATGTTACGAAGTAGAACACTTTAAACCCAGCTAAGTATCGCATGCTTCCAATAGTTACAATGCAAAATGATGGCATTTGTAGGAAAGAATAACATATAAAGGAAACATATTGCATTATGCTACCTGCATTGTCCTTTCTTCTCGAATTAAATCACTTTTAAGTACAACTTCGTCATTGCATTGGTCATCACCACAAGTCACGAGACAAAAATGGAGGGGATGTTACGGAAATGGCGCACTGCCGCTTGTACGGTTTATATTTCGAAACAGAATTGATGGGCATAATAAGCCATTTTGCACTAATTGATAAGATTCACCCGGCAGTGCAATAGAAAACTTATCTACCATATATTATAGATCAATCAGTGTTTGGGGCTACCAATGTCTCATTTTTCAGCTACCTCTTTACCACAGTGACACTTTGCATGGTGACACTGACACATAAAGTACTGAAATTCACACATTTGCATTAATTGTAGAGCAATGAGGGTAACACAGTTCG